TACCCCCCCCCCACACACACTCCCTTCTAACACAACACACCTCCATCCTTTCTAACATGTGCAGTTCCCTCTCCCTCCTGAACACTATTGTTATACCATTCTTTTATTATTGTATTTAATATCTTGATGAACAGTTATGAATTCTTGACTTTGAATAAAATAACATTAACTTGTGAATAATAAATTTGTGTCAGAAACACTTCCTTACAAAACCATGCAGGTTGAATTTTACAAGGGGAGGTAATCTTGTCGCCGGATGAAAAGCTTTCTCAACATGTATGTACCTTGTCGATATATCGACAATTTTTTAATTTGTTTATTCATGTGGCCTAAAGTTATTATACTGGCGAGATTACATGGACTTGCTTGTTTGTTACGACTCATTTAAGTACCCCATTTTATGGCAGGATTGCCAGAGATAATATGCAAATAGCCATTCTGTCTAAAATAACTTTACCCTTAGATACGCCGGTAGATTTGATCCACACTACCTTAACAATACTCTTAGGGGTATCGCTTGAATAAAATATTTCCTGAAGGTGCTTATGTTCTTTTAAAAACACCTTCACTATCGTTTATTTGCAAGGAAGTACCACAGTCACATTTTAACATAGGCATAAATATTTAAAACAGATTTAGAAAGAAAAAAACCAACTGTATTGTAAATTCAGAGATGGGCTGTTCTGGGTACACATGTGTAAATCATACCAAATTTATCCTAATAAATGCTTGTAGAAATTCCATAAGTGGCATATACCATTTCAAAACCAATTAGTTCTTGATTTTGCTCATGCAATATTTTATTTTTAATTCACATACAGACAAAAGTTTCGTTTCCCTTTATATAAGATCCTGATACCCAAATTAAACTTATTTATTCCACCTTTTTGCTAACATTAATTATGTCTCCCTTAACCATTTCACCTCTATGTAACTTTAGTAGACTCTCCCATGCATAATAATTAAATTGATCTGGATGAGTCCATTATGGTCTACAGTGGTGAAAGGGTTTAACACTGTTACTATAACATGTAATATAACTCTTGACTCCTCTTAATATCATGTTATAGTCACTCGACACATCCGATGTATAAATAACAAGTACTACCTTACACAAGAGAAAACAGTTACGACTACCTCAATGATTGCAAGCTTGTGATGTTATGATCAGGGAGATTTATAGAATTACACACATAGGCAGTATTCAAAACATCATTTCATAAAAAGTTACATACACATACATATTCTTCAATTTTATCTCAATAGGGATGAATTTTCAGTTTCTTTTATTGTCATATTTCACTTAATATCACACTTTCTTTGACAAATGATATTAACAGGAATGTCGTAAACAAATACAAATCAGTTGATTTTACAAGTATGAAAATTATATATTATCAGTATAATTATTTTGATAATAGTGAAGAAGTTTGTCAGATATAATACAACATGGCAATTGGATATTAATGGCTCATTAAGTTCATACAAAATAAACATCAAACTTTTAGTGACCCGAGAATAATGAAACAATATTGTTTTTTGTGAGTTTTTCGGTAGAAAAGGATCTTGGTGACTTGGCCCTGGGATAACATTAGGAACACATGGCTCATAACACATAGGCATACCCCCGGGTAGTGTGAGGTCGTCATGACGACCCACCCTAATCTTAACCGACACATCAAAAACGTTCACTCACCCATACAGACAGAGATACTGATATGTAAAACAGACAGATATTAGCTGTAGGGGTGTTAAAATGAAACAGCACACACAAAAAACCAATTTCATGAATTTTTATGAGCAATTTGATTTATTTTATTTCCATTCTCTCTCCCCTCAATACCCATATGATTTCGTTTATATTCATTAAGCACGCCGCACAGCTTAAATACAAACTTTTCTGACACTGGATTTCTTCGAGATACCCATCATTTATTTTTTTCTTTTCATTTGCCACACTTTAAGGAGAAGCTGTTATAAGTCAATTTTGTCCGGGATACCCACCGAACAATTTCTCCTCTCTACAATATAAGGGTATTATGGAGGCACAATGGAGTGTGTTAAATTGAGATCTATCTCTCTCTCTTATTGATCCACCTCTACATGATGTATTCCAAGTAAGGGCAAAAATCACAGTGCTTCAGGGTAGACGTTTCTAGGGGCGATCGTATGGTTATCGGAAAAATGTGGCATTAATACCCTCGCTACAGACATTCACCGACCAGGAATTCTGGATCTCTGCCATATGTCTACACCCGGACAATCCGATTGACCACACCACATTCTACATCCTTAGTATGATCTACAACACCGTGACATCTACCTGGACTCAAAAACAACTAACCCCTGCAACGACTTTTTAAAGGATATTTGAACTTCGTTTATCAAACTAACAAATAAATACCAATCAGATTATTCTGCATTATAACATGCTCATACTTGTACTCGCTAACTCTCCCCAATTAGGAGGGAGACTACCCATTTTGAACCCTAATATTAAGCATTTTCAACCTGTGAATTTGTTAAGCTGATCCTATTTTCTAAGATCTGATGATTTCACCGTAAAGAAACTATTTGAAAAGGTGGTTTTTCCCATAGAGTGTACATACACACATTTTATATATTTTTTCAATTCTAAGCACACATAATCTCCCCATGGAAATTTCAAAAAGTTGGTAAGTATGGATGCTTGAAATCAAAATATAATTCATTAAGGGAGCTAACTCTGGACACATTACACAGATATGATGTGTATGGCAATATGCGTCGTTAAAACCTATTCTAATATATAATCTATATTATAAGTTATAAATGCAAAATAACTATATTCAAACCTAAAATTGACAGCCTGAATGAGTTGAAGAAATGAAACATTCAAATTCTGTGAACCTGTATAACAAGTACTTGATACTGAATCTAATATGGATCACCTGGTTAAGCCTTTTTACACCAACATACAGTGTCCTTCCATCAAACAGGTATTTGAAGTGTAGTGATACAGAATATAGTCCCTACTTTTATTTCTGCTCTTACGAGTTGATGTAGTCATACTAGTAAAAATTAACCTATATGTTTTTATGTTTCCAAGTTCCATTTTTTCCCAGATAAATGCTTTATCTCGTAGATTCTTATAGACAAATAACGAAGTAGAGAAAGCAAGGGAGATAATATTTGTTAATGGCTTAAACAACAAAATGTCAACTTGCTATGAACAACACGCCCAATGAACTTTATTGGCTAACACTAATCATGAATATTCATCAGCCAAACCATGTGTCACACAAGTCATGGCGTTGTGTATACGTGTACTCCCCGTGATATTCGCAGACCTGCATGTTGTTGGAGAGTTATTAATCACACTAAGCGCGGTTTGCCATGCGGTACATGGTTCACGATGCAGGTCTGCGATCAAAGCAGACAGATATATACCTTGTTATTGTACCGGCATTGTCTCCGTAATTAAATCACTGACTGATCCAGCATAGCTTTTACACCGACAACACAAACTATCAAGTCCCAACAGCTCAAACATGACGTATATACTTCTTACTTCACTTGTGTAGTCTGTCTGTCTGTTCACTTTCAGTTTAAATATCGGATAAAAATTTGTTTCTTTTTAAAATCAATATGAGATAACACCTTTTCTTTCCATAT